CTTGCTTGCAGCGTTTTCTGGCTCTCCCACATAAAACAATAAATCTTAAAACCATTTTACTGCACAAAAACAATATTCACTGCGGTAGTAATTTAAAACATGAAAGTACCGAAGCTTAAATGAAATAAGATGCTTCTTCAAACTAAAATCCTAACCACTCTGTGGTTCATATAGAACTGATAAGCTAAAGGGCTATTTGTGGAATGACTCAACATTCAAGTAAACAGTCTGCTTACACGTTTATGGCACCTCACGGTTCAGCTAATTACACTTTACAACCAAATGATCACACATTGGCTCCTCCTGTTTACCTTTCCAGTGGAGTAATGTATTATCATCACACAGTCAGGCACACAATATACCAAGAGGACGCTAGAGAGATCCAAGCCTTTTATATAACACATTGTGGGAAACTGTTTGTCTCACCCTCCCATTAACTGATTTGCAGTTACTTCATGAATAGGTTCCCAGAGACCGCTCTGAGGGAAGCAGAGGTGTGCAGCACTGAAGAACTGTCAACTTGAGCATCGCTATAACTGGCTATTGCACCACAATAGTACAAACACACGTTGATCATACCCAATGGTTCCATGCAACTAGTCATTTACCTCCCAAATGCACACAGCACGTCCTAACCTAAGGGCTACTTTGTGCATGCGATACAATGTAAATAAATGTGGTCTTGATTGTACTGGTAAAATACCAATCGTCTCCTTGTTCAGTCTGATTTAAACTTTCAGAAACTTTTCTCAAATTAAAAATCGTTCAGTGAAGCTCTTCTGCCTCGTCAAACCCCCAATTTGCAACTGGCGAGTAATTTTGACAAGTGACAAAAAAGCGTGAAAAAGAAATGGCTCCGGATCAGTTCAACGATAGTTCAATTTACACCCAAAAAAAACTTAAAAAGAGATGTGCTCGGTGTGTCGTACAGGGCAATTGCAACATAAATCACACTCGCGCATTTGCTCTTTTCGCTGCAGTGGTTGATGGAGATGTGTGTTTGACTGCAGACTGGGGTTTGGAGCCATCGGCTCCTTATCAGGTGAAAGTCGGAATGGGCAGTGCCAGACTGGTGCGGGGCTGTGGGAAGAGAGACGGGATTGCTGAGGACAGACACCACACAAAGCTTGGGAGCCACGTCCAGCTGTACTCTCACGCAGATCGGGCCAAGACACGCAAGCAACGAGTTTCCAGGGGTATGGGCAGGAGTGACAGCAGCCAAGCGGGGACCGCGAGGAAAAGCGAGTGGATACACATTCACACGGTCCAAGTGACACCCAACACTTTCAGAGGAGGAGGAGGAGGAGCGGCATTTACAAGCGACGGCCGGGGTCAGAAATACAGCTTTTTTTTTCGAAAAGAAATAAGAGCACATTCGATTCTCGCCTCACAGCCACACACGTCTTGCCTTGTAGTTGTAGGCCGAAATGTCATTGGATGTGAGGGCTATATCTCACGGTAGGGGGTGGAAAGAGAAAGATACGAGCAAGGATTTCCTAAATTGAACTGGGAGGAGGAGGAGGGAGGGGGGGGATGTCAGACAGGATCACAATAATTCAAGGCATTGTCGCTGTTTGCCCACCCTGTGTGGCTACAATGAAGACTTTGAGCCGAGAGATCCACCCTCAACCCCACCAGCCACAGCCCCAACAGTCAGTGGCCCCCTTTCCCCTACTTCACAAGTACTTTATTGTTCAGCCACACAGTTACCATACCTTTGGGAATGTTACTAACTGAAGCCCAATGTTTCAGATCCAGCATTATCAAAGTCTTCCACACAGCCCTCCCCTATATATATATATATATATATCCCTAAACGTATCCATATCTCTATAATAAAATTTAAAAAAGTTTGTATTTCAAATTAATTCTCTCTTTGAACTTACGAGCCAAGCCAGTGGCCAGTCTTTCATCAGATTCAGTGACCAGCACAAAGTTGCAGGATGTGTTTATAAAGTGGCAGCCACTCCAGTCTCCTTAGTATAAGACTTTTTAAGCCCTCTTGAAAGCGACTCACGGAGTCCACTGCAGTTTATGCAAAGAAAAAGCGATAAAAACAAAACAAAAAACCAAACACCAGATCCTCCTCTTTCAAAAAACACGGGCTGTTCTGTTTACCACTGACCGCTCCCCCAGTTTCTGACGGAACCCACAACGTGAGTGAGTGAGTGAGTGAGTGAGTTGAGCAGTTACATTGCCAGACTTCTCTGGGGGTACTTTTATATTTCAGAATTTCTGGGGTTAGCACTTTATATTAAAACTGAATGTCTGCGCTTCAGCATTAAGGAATTACTCTCCCCCCCCCACACACACACACCCACACACACACACACCACCCCCCACACACACCATCCCCCCCCCCCACACACACACACACACCCCCACACACACACACACCACCCCCCCCACACACACACACACCATCCCCACCACACACACACACACACCACCACCACCCCCCCCACACACACACACCACCCCCCCACACACACACCAGACACACAGCCCCCCCCCACACACACACACCCCACACACACTGCCACCCAACAGCGCAGCACCATTCAAATTGAGTTCAATTAAAGAAAAATGTTTCATTTCAACTTTTCCAAACGCTGTGGGGTTGGCGCTGCAGCTGTCCCTGGTATTGTGCAAAAAGGCACGATTCTTCTTGTTTTTTTGGTGGTGGTCGACGGGGGGAAAAACGCATATAAATCCACAAAGAATTCCCCGCGAAGACAGGGGCAGATGGATCTAATAAGCGGAACCTTCAAAAGCTCCGATTTTACACTCTGTCACAAAAGTAACAATCCCCAATGTTTGGAGGTCAACCATGAGATCCGCCGAACTGGTCGAGACAGTCATGTTAAAAGTCCCAGTACATAAGGGACGCTTGGTCACCCCCCCCCCCCCAATCCCCCCCACACACACCAATATAGACCTGAGAACCATTATTTTAAAAATCGCAAACACTAATAGAAGACTTCTTCCGTAAAGACTATCAACTCGGGATCCACACTGCAAACCGTTACTGAGGTTTCCAGCAGCGGTATTGTGCCTCAGCTTCTACCCCCCTCCCACGCTATATAAAAAAAACATTCAAGTGAGAGAGAGAGACAGAGAAAGACTCCGGGGTAGGTAGCAATCTGTCCCACAGGAACTCTTAAGCGGATCTGAAGTGGTGGTCTCTCAAATTAATTCGCACTGATGTTATGGTGAACCCTTTTTGTCTTCACCCCTCACCCTTTCCTCAACAAACGCAGAGAGTTCAAAGTTCCCTCCTTGCCTTTTCCAATTGGATTTTTGGCTGTTCATTCCATCATTGCAACCGCAGCAAAGTTACCCCACGACCCCCCCCCCCACGAAATTCTCTTCTCAGCCCCAGGGTAGCAGAGCCAGGCCAGAGGGTGATGGGCTAAGCATTTGATGTTTAAGTGATTCAAAGTCGGATTTTTCACGCACTATATTCGTGAGGTTGTTATGATTCCCGAGGCAACTAACAAGACTGGTAGGTTAGTGCAACAAAAAGTTCTCGAGAACCCGACAAGAGTTTAATTCTCGCAAGTGATTTACCTTCACATGCAACTCACAAATGCAAGTTGGCAAACTACAGGGGCAGCACATTGCACTCATCCAGAGAACAGTGCATGTTCTGACTTTATTACACCCCCATCTGTCCCAGCAGAGCTCCAAATGATGGTGTGCGTAACCTTCCACCACCCCTCCAAGGAATAATGCAAACAAGGCATTTGCCCCCCATGGGCTGGCCAGCCTGGCCCAGGTCCCTCCCTGCGCCCAGGGAGGTCCATGCTATGCGCTCTCTTGCCCGGGGAGCTGAATGAACAGCTTGCTTCACTGCCCCCTCCCACCAGACGCGAGCAATAAAAGCAAACCGTGTGGGAATGAATGAGTTCATGGAAACTTTGCGGGATGATCTGTACGGCTCCAGTCTGAAAGGTTGACGGGGGCAGAGTAAAGACGGGCAGAGCAGAAGGAGGAGGGAACGGGGCAGAGTAAGAGAAATAGCCAGTGAGCATACGAGAGCAAAGGGGGGAAGAGAGGAGCAGATTGAGAGACACCAATAAGAAGTGAGATTCTGTATACAGTATATATATATATATGTATATATAACACCCCGAAGTGCTCGCTCCTTTACTCGTGATCTCGCCTCTTTCCCCAAAACCCGCTGCTTGGACCCACCGCGGTCTCTGAACAGTGTTTCTCTTTCTCAAAGAGAGCATTTGGGAATCACAAATCACACCCACAATCACATATTTATTGTTAACCGCGTCGAGTGCCCCATTGACAGTCTCAAAGGGAGCGGGTCGCCCCCTCTCCATTCACTTGAGCAATTAATACAAATCCATCCAAGTGCAAAACAGCGACCACTTTCGACCTTTCATTAGAAAACGCGCCGTCCTCCACACCTCCCCCCCCCCCCCCCCCCCCCCCCCCCCCACACACACACACACCGACCCCCGCCCCGGCTTTCTGCTTTGGGGAGAGTTGCACATCAGAACATGATGGGGGGATTGTCCCAACAACCGGGGCTGTCTGTACCGTTTCCCAAATCGATGGGGGTGGGGGGTGGGGGTGGGATTAGAAAGTGGGGAAGGGGTGGTGGGGAAACTTGAGAAACTCATTTCTGCAAACTTTCTCGCGGCTGAACTGATGCCGAGAAAGGGCCAGACTGCTCAGTTGTGGAGCTTTATGTTATAGACACGAATGTTGCATCACCGGTGCCTGCAAATAACCGTAGGGTCCACAGAGGAGCCACGAGTGGAGCCTCAGCTGTGGCATATATTTTTTTAATTAAAAAAAAAGGCAACATTCTTGTGCAAAGCCATCACGGCCAAGATGCCAGATCAACAGTGACACGTAAACTTGCGCGCAGGAACTGTCGCCTCAGCCTCAGCCTCGCAATGTCAGCGCTCCTTCAGCAGAAGCCCAAACAGAGCATCAAAGCATCAGTCAAAGAAAAAAGGGGGTGAAAAAGACCTTACCTGCTTGACAGATGCCGATAGCCCAGAGTGCCAGTGAGATGAGCTGCACGCCGAGAGCTGGCACACAGAGTCCTCGGGTGTGAGGCATGATCCCCGGCTCCAGATGGTTGCGGCTTTTCCTTGGGTTGAGGCTGGTCGTGGGCGAGCGAAGCAACGCAAAAAGCAAAGGATCAGCTTTCGATCTCTCCCTCTCTCTCTCTCCCTCTCTCTCTCCCTCCGCGGCAGCAGATCACTTCGGCAAACTTAAACGAACAAAAATAAGATTTGGCATCAGAAATCCCAGGGTTTCTTCCTGTTCTTTCCAGCAGCTTGGTCAAACCGACAAGAAATGTTTTTTTTTATAAAAAAGAGAGAGAGAGAGAGAGAGAGAGGGGATGAAGGAACAGCGAGGGGCAGCTTCTGATTCTTTCCACCGCAAATCACTTCCAAATCCCAAGTTGTGACTGTGATGGAGAACGGACTCTCATGATGCAGAGTACAAATTCCAGTGTGTGTGTCCGTCCGTTCAGACCAGTGCGCTGTGTTGCTGTGTGTCCGTCTGTCTCTGTGCTCCCTGCAGCCCAGCGCCACACACACACACACACATACACACAGACACACACACTCTCTCTCTCTCTCTCTCTCCTCTCTTGCTTCTCCAGCTCTGGGCCACTTTCACTCAAGCCAAGGTGTAAACAGGAGGCGAGCGCCACGGCTCCTCTGCCCTCAGCCAATCGAGCGCCGCTGACATCCCATCCCAGCCTTGCCAGCTCAGACACTCACAAAACCCGGCGCACCACAGCGCACATTCCCTCTGCTCCTTTGCCATTGACAGTCCAATCCCTCTCTCCAATGCAGAAATCCCAGACGAGAGCGTTTCCACCATCCGGTTTTCCACGCACCGATTAAACAACGGGGCTACTGATCTGAATGTATGTTCCTTTCAACTGCCAAAGTGCACTTCATCAGGATTTGATGGATGCGAGTCATTTTGACCGGTTTGATCATAAGCAAACGTTTACTATTAATAACAGTGAGAGCATCAGAAGCGAATCTCAATTCCCACAATTAATCTGTGATGTATTACAGAAGAGTCCAGATCACACCTTACCATTCAAAAAAAAAGATGTTTTTTAAAATGATGATTTTGTGAGTTAACATCCACTTTCATGCAAATTAACTTGGGGGTGTGGGGGGGGGGGGGGGATCACAGTTAATGAATGTGATCTATCAATGCAACGGTAGCGTTGGTTACTAACTCTGGACATATTACGCATCATTTTACTGGAGTGGTGAAGTGATGTGGAAATGATGAGAAGGTTTTCCCTTACTTATTTACAGCCTCGACTTTACATTATTTGCAGTCGTCAAGAGGGGAATAACTAAATATTCTATTACTTTCGTTAGAGTTGAGATGGCACGTGATGAGGACCGTGTTGGATTATTGGTTTGGTTTGGAGATCAGAACTTTTTTTTCATCATTATTCTTTTCCTCTCAAAAGTTTCGCGTCCCAGAATAGGGCGCTTGTGTGTGTGTGTGTGTGTGTGTGTAAAACGAGCTCATGTGAAGGCGATGGTGAGTTCCTGCAGAGGACGTGATAGGGAATGGGATAAAGCAGATGCAAAAAGCATCACAATGTTCGCTCAGTTTAATTAACTTTTCCTGTTTTCAAAAGAATTACATAGCTCACGTTAGTCAAGTAAACCGAGGCTCATAACTTTATTTTACATCTGGATCAATTTTCCCCTTAACTTGCCAAGAAGCGAATTTGATGTTTAAAATCCGAACAGCAAATAAATAACAAGGAACAGACAACTGTGTAATCTCAAATGATTTGGTTGGGATAAACAGATTAGTGAATAAACGAATTTTTCGAATGCAGTAAACGGATCATTAGATACTCAAATCTACAACACTAACGGGCATAATAATAACCTTTACTGTTAATCTAGAGAACAAAAAGGGGATTGGTTTGATCACATGAACTGGCAATATTTATAACCAATGATGTTAATGATTTCGCTGGGAAATGCTTTGTGTAAATTGCGAAAAGGAAGAACTCCTTTTCCAACAACAGTGTAATCCTATTCCCGAGTTAATTCGTAGTTTAATAACAAAACGCACACACACGCGAATCGTGCATCGTGAACTGTTCTCGAAATAGACACTTACTTCATATAATGCCACAAAATGCGACTGTTGGGATTGGTTTATTTCCGTTTTGTGCGAAAATCACGTTTTATCGCCATTCCATCCCACTGCCGTCCTCTAATCCTACTTGAAAAGTAAAACAAAAAAGCGATAGCCTGAAAGAAACACCGGGACATTTACAGCGGAGAACGCGACATAGGACCAATTACTCACATCAAATACCACTCTAACTGCAGTCAGACTAAAGAGAGGAGTCGAGGAAAAACACAAGATCAATATTACACGCCATCTGCGCCGAACCCTATAGTTTTACTACTTTATCAAAAACTTTGATGTGGAAATGTGGATTTTTATTGTTTTACAATATGATAAGGGTGATGGAGCTGGCGCCACGAATGCTTTAATTGCCTTTAGGGAAGGCACTGAGCGTTTGGGTGGAGACATCAGGGGTACCGCTCGGTAGGACGTCCCGTTAGGGAATAGAGCGATGAAACAAGAACATGTCTGAACTAATCCATGCTCCATCTGTCTGCAGGGTACCACTGATTGTGAAACATGTTATCATTGATAAAGCAAATAGGTTTCCGTTATCAATGATGCCACATTTTGTCAAGATGCCCCGTTAGTGATAGATATTCCCCCAAATGAAACATCTGTCAAGAGACAAAGAAAGGAAAAGAAAGAGCTCATCAACGTTCAACCACCTTTTATTTGGTACAAGTCAGTTGTCAAACCCTGTGACTTGTTTAAACTCCACACCGCGATTTTTAAAGCAGTTGAGAAGGCAATTTTTATATATAAAAAAAATGCCAATGTTTTTCTTTACGAGCTACTTTAGATACAGCATCGATACTGCGATCTGGCAAGAACGGGAGTTGAAGGAGCCGCCAAACGCGTCGGCATCTACAGTGTAATTAGTTTAAACAACTGGAATTAATTGTAATTTAGATAATCAAATGAACTGTACGTGATCCCAAACCACTGCGGTTCTGTGTTCACTGCTAATTCCGAGAGGTTTCTAATTAACAACCAGCACAAAGCAGTCGATAGGCAGAGAGCAGTGCGGTCTCTATTTGCAAAGTGACCCCCTCCCCCCACACCAACCCCCCCCCCACCAACCCCCTTTCCTTCTCTTCAGTGCGTTCAGCTGTTGGTAGGATCTCAGAGAGGATTTCTCAGTCCCCACACACCAGCCCCAGTCCAGCAGTCAGCGCCGCCGCCTCTCCAAAAGGTTTTTTATTGCAAAACATTTGGTTTATTACGAGCCACGACACACGGGGGCGATCTTAGCTCTCAGCCGCTTCCACGCAAACCAACCGGGGGGGAAAAAAAGGGGGAAAAGGAAGCAAGAAACAGCAGACGTTGACCCCGGCGCTGCAAGTTAGACAAATATTATTTTGCGTAAAGGCCGAATGAACCTTAAAGTTATTTTTTTTTTAATTTAACGAGAGTCCAAGATTGCAAACAGAACAATTAGCCTTTCCTCCATCGTCTTGTTTCCCTTCTGCCACACTTTGCTGCCTGGTTTATCCGCACACGTTGCTGCCTGGTTTATCCGCACACGTTGCTGCCTGGTTTATCCGCACACTTCCACGCAGGCGTTCAATCCCCCCCCCACACGCACACACACACACGTTTTATATCGAATGAAAGGAGGCAATTATTTGCGAACAGGATTAAAACCTCAGAAACGATTTAAGTGAGAGTCGGGTTAGAGATCCAGAACTCGGGGTCCTGCTGCCTTGGCAGCGGCGACTGCGAGCAACGTCAGGATTTGGGTGTAACCTCACCAGGAAAGCAGGCGCTATTTTTTTGCTCTGGCAGCCAACTTCATTCATCTGCTGTGGGTTTCTCTCTCTCTCTCTCTCTTTCTCTCTCGCGTGAAAGGTAAAGGCGGGTTTTTAAAGCGATCGCGTTGCTGTTTTAAAATTTAATGAGGATTCGAGTTGATGGATGCTGTTAATTTCCATCACTGTAAAGGCGGGCGGCTGTGGGATTTGTAATGATATGTAAATGTTAAAAAAAAAGTTTGCTACGTCGGTTTATTGATTCCTCCAGTACTCGTGTTACGTGGCTGGAAGACCCCCCCCCCCCAGTACCAAAGGGGGAGAGAGAGAGAGAGAAAAAAAAGAAGACACCAGCAACAAGCGTGTGCTTGGCTGGATCCTGCACACACTCAGGCGTGGAGATCCTCTGTGAGAAGAGACGCGATTATTTTCTTTCTCCCCAATGCGCATCTCAAGGGCTCCTTTCTAAACGCTCTCAATAGCCGACACCGTCTGCCACATGAACATTCATTCACTCAGAAGAGCTCGACAGCAAGCGCTAAGTGGTGTTCGTGTGAGAGCCTCCCAGCCCGGCAAAGCAAGCACTTTTTTTTACACACACACACACACTGCAGCCAGAAGGCAACATCTACATTCAATGTCACCTCAATAATTTATTTGGCAGAGGTGCAATAACTATCAATAATTCAGAGCCAATAATGTTATACAAGTTCAAGCCACCGATTGTGCCACTTGAGTTGCGTTGTTCCTTGGATCCCTGCAGTCTCACGATTTTACTCACATTCGCGTACAAATGGAGCCAGGCTGGATGGAGGCAAGTAAATAAAAGCACAATCTTAAACTCGGCAGCCACTTTATGCACAGCTGTGTCCCACAAACAGAAATTAAATGAATGACTATCTGGGGAATTAAGTATCTGGGGGTGGCCAGAATTCCAGGAGAAACTCTCCTCTTATTAGAATACTCAACTGCCATGGGATCTTTAATGTTAGCACTGCATTAAAATGATAGCTTAGAAGACCATAAAGCTCAGCGTCCTGATGCAAGGCTTGAACCCACAAAATATTGCTGCTCGGAAGTGAGCGTTTTCAGTTGAGTTAAAATGAGACGAAAATTTTTCATCCTGGATTGGTTGCTTTTCCTGGCATGACAATCTCATGGTCCCAGCAATTCTGGAAGACATTTGTTCCACACAGCAAACACTCATACCATTCTGCATTTACACTGATAACTATATCAGCCTTATTCCTAACCAGGAATTCGTGCAGTTTTTTAAAAAAATGGGTGAGTTAACATTGTTTTAACTGGGTGTCTCTTCCACATTCAGCTGGAAAAAAACATCATTCTAATCTCTATTATTGCTTGAGGTTTCTGAACGTTATGGTTATTCT